GCAAAGGCGGAGGTTGGCATGTTTGGTGTGACGGGGATTCGAACCCGCGACCCTCAGATTACGAGTCGAGCGCCCTAACCACCTGGCCTGGAATCTAACTTAGTAGTCAGCAATACGGTTCGCTTAGTAAAATAATTAATTAAGTTTCTTGTTACACAAGTATAATTAACATGCTGTTCTTAGCAGTTAATCGATAAATTACTGCACCGTACACGTTTACACCCACCTGTTTATTACACGCATCGACTGTACTTAGAATTTCGAATCACTTCAAACAGCATTGCTTTAATAAACAGACATCTTTTGAAACCGATGTTTACATAGATTTGCGTAGTTTTATAAGTAATTTCACGCACAAAATAAATACATTTAACTTAAGCATTTCAAATTTGGTGCAGAGAATATATACAACTAAGACAAATCAAGTTATATCTCAAAAAAAAAGTACTACAGTGATAAGATAATTGAAGTCTGGCGCGAAAGAGGAACAGTCAAACTGTGTGAAGTTTCTTGTAAAGTAAACAGATTTATAGTGTTTCAAAGTTCAGATGTTCTGAAATTAAGAAATAAGTATAATTAAGACATATTAAGTCTTACGTACAAATATATGTATATATATTTATAATTAAGGTATTTCAAGTTCCTCACTGTAAATAAATATAAGTCGAGTGTAGAAGTGTGTTAAAAGTAGGTCTAGAAAACAACTGTCAAATATTTGGCGAACTACTATCGTCAACGGCAAGAAGCTATTTTCCCCTGGTGGGGGTCACTTTTCTTTAACCACTCGCACCACTATACAGTAGTGTGTTGTCTGTCAGTCAGTCAGTAGACACTAAAATGACGTAACATAAGGGACGCTTAACGTTGCAATTTGTACTGTCGTGACGTCAGTAATACGTCCATGAATCACGAGAATAATTACGAACTCTTTAGGTTACAACACAGCAAGACATAAGAACTTCAAAAGCAAGAAATAAAAATAGTTGTTACTCTTGATTTGGGTTTTATTTTATTCTTGAAACAGAACACTTTCGGGAACCCTGCAGAAGTACATCTAGTACATAAAATGTTTTTAAATAATGATCTTGAACTACTTATCAGTGCTCAATAGATCCGATAAAAACGTGTTTATTGGAGTTGTTTTTCGTGCTAATTACTGGATCGCTGAACGTTTACTTTGTCTTTTGTTAATCGTGATTGTGAACATTCAGCACCTAGAGACGTACGATACTGTTTGTTTGTTATGAATTTCGCGCAAAGCTACACGATGGCTATCTGCGCTAGCCGTCCCTAGTTTAGCAGTGTAAGACTAGAGGGAAGGCAGCTAGTCATTACCACCCACCGCCAACTCTTGGGCTACTCTTTTACCAACGAATAGTGGGATTGACCGTCACATTATAGCGCCCCTACGGCTGAAAGGGCGAGCATGTTTGGTGTGACGGAGATTCGAACCCGCGACCCGCAGATTGCGAGTCGAGCGCCCTAACCACCTGGCCATGCCGGGCCACGTACGATACTGACCATTTGGCCATGGCGGGTCACGTACGATACTGGCCATTTACTATATTCTGAGGATTTTTATAAACTTACATTAGTTGTATTATGAGTCACGCGATTTGTATACCAGTACTACTAACAAATCTATGTTTCTAGTGAAGTCTAAAAGTCATACATTCAGTCAGGATTTCATAATACTTTGTACAGTACCTTTGGCATAACGCACTAAACCTAAACGTCGATCCAACAGCATACGACGAACAAACCAATAAATTACTAACAAATGGGGTCAAATTCGATGACGAGGAACCTACTTTGATACTAATAATGTTTGGAGACGGCTTGAATGGGTAATGAAGAAAAATTTAATATAAGTTTAACATAACAGCAAATGTACAACGTTTTGACACGGTATTATCACCATCAGGTACAAGAAGTTTACACTGTATATATATACACACAGATATCCTACAGATATATACAAGATATCTCTTCTAAGTCTTGCAACAGTATACGGTCATGTGACCTCTTTGTTCCATACTGTATATATATATGTCCGTGTCAGTGTAAACTACTTGTATCTAATGATGACAAAACCTTGTCTAAACGTTGTACATTTGCTGTTACGTTAAACTTATATTAAATTTTTTCTTCATTACCCATTCAAGCCGTCTCCAAGCATTATCAACAAACGGGGTGTTTATGCTACAAACCTTAGATAATATCTAAGCCTAAATGGTTGTGAGGAGACGTTTGTTATTGTTGTTTCTAAAAAAGTTGGAAACAATATCAAATATAAACGATTTTTTGTTTTGTTTGTTGTTAAGCACAAATCTGCAAGAAATAAATATATCTGATGGGTCAAGAATAATGTGTTAATTAATTCAAATTAAAAATCCAGTTATTTGGGTAGTATTTAGAAGCGCCACCTATCGAGAACGCTTGAGATCAAAGCCTATAGATGGAGTAACGTTTAAGGCTGCTAATCAACAAAGAATGTATAAATCAATTAAAAATAAATACTGATATAATATGAACTTGTCTTACTATAGATTAGATATTAATGTTATACGTACAACAAAGTTTTATCGACTATAACCACTAGAAAATAGGTTAAAAGGTCAATTTCAATGTCATTTTATTATTTTGTTTTTATACCAGTGAAGAAGAAACGTGATTCTCGTTTTGAAAAAAAAAATGCAATTAATTACATATGTTCTTAAAGAAGAAGGAGAAAGTAAAAATATAAATACAAAAATTAAGAAAGAATACTACAAACATTTTTACAAGTACACATTACTCTGGTCTCATGTGATTCTGAAGGTTTTGACAAGTGTTTAGGTCCGTTTTCTTTAGCCATATACTTAGATCCGAGGGAAGATTGGCAGAGGTTCTGAAAATACAACCGAAGGAAGAGGAGCGAGAGGGAGGTAGAGACTCACTTAGCTTGAGGGCATTAGAAAAAGAAGTTTTAATTAGTAAATAGAGGAACAGAGAAGAATGAAGAGCCAGAGTCTTCGACCCTCCAAACTGGGAAGGATTCCATGATCGATATCTTACTTTTAGTTCAAGTACAAGATGTTACTTTGGTTTTCTGTAAACAGATTTACACAAGACTGAATAAAACATGCTAATTTCTTTCTACAGGGTTTGATTCAAGAAAAAAAAACAGTCTCACTTTTACCACTGCAACAACTCACACCTGCACGTGTAAACACTTCTCAACCACTGCAACAACTCACACCTGCACGTGTAAACACTTCTCAACCACTGCAACAACTCACACCTGCACGTGTAAACACTTCTCAACCACTGCAACAACTCGAACCTGCACTCGATACTGTAGCTTAGATATTTTATCGATGAAAGTAAATGAAAAAAAATTAACATTTTAATATCTTAAAAATATCGTTCTTATTTCTAGAGAAAAGTGTAAACATTTCTCACAAACATAGACTATTTATAACAAAAATATCGAACGTTTGAAAGAGAACAATATTAACTATGTATCTGAGTAATACAAGTTTAACAGACAAAAGAGAAGAAGGCATTGCAACAACAACAACAACAATTACTCTTAACTTTGAAAATGACTTATCCAGAAAAAAACTATTATGAAAATATTAAAACGGACGCAATTAACGTTAGGCCAACTGTAACTCTGGGCTACAGAAGATCAATGACGGCTTTTTTAAAAAAAAAAATTGTTTTCGCAGTCAAAAGAAATACTTAATGTAAAACAAAAGCATTATCCAAACCTTCTTTTCAATAGGAGCTAACGTAAACACGCTGATAGTTAGGCTTAGCTTTCATATACTATTTACAACACGCTGTGGGTTAGTTTCACACATTTATGTATAACACGTTAACAATGGGTGAGTTTTATACATCACGTACAACACGTTAATAATAAGGGTTAATCTTCATACATCACGTTAATAATAAGGCTTAGTTCTCATACATTACGTACATCACGCTAATAATAAGGGTTAGTTTTCATACATTACATACAACACGCTAATAATGGTTAATTTTCACACATTACGTAGATCACGCTAATAATAAAGGTTAGTTTCATACACTACGCACAACACGCTAATGATAAGGGTTAATTTTCATACATCACGTTAATAATAAGGGTTAGTTTCATACATTACGTACAAGACGCTAATAATGGTTAATTTTCATACATCACGTTAATAATAAGGGTTAGTTTCATACATTACGTACAACACGCTAATAATGGTTAATTTTCATACATTACGTACATCATGCTAATAATAAGGGTTAGTTTCATACATTACGTACAACAAGCTAATAATGGGTTAGTTACCATATATTATGTACATCATGTAGATAATAAGGGTTAGTTTTCATACATCATGCTAAAAATAAGGGTTAGTTTTCATACGTTACGTATAACAGGCTAATAATAAGGGTTAGTTTCATACATAATGTACAACACGCTAATAATAAGGGTTAGTTTCATACACTACGTACAACAAGCTAATAATAAGGGTTAGTTTCATACACTACGTACAACAAGCTAATAATAAGGGTTAGTTTCATACACTACGTACAACAAGCTAATAATGGGTTAGTTTCCATATATTATGTACATCATGTAGATAATAAGGGTTAGTTTTCATACGTTACGTATAACAGGCTAATAATAAGGGTTAGTTTCATACATAATGTACAACACGCTAATAATAAGGGTTAGTTTCATAAATTATGTACAAAACGCTAATAATGGTTAGCTTTCATACATCACGTACATCACGCTATTAATGGGTTAGTTTTCATACGTATACTACGCACAACACGCTAATAATGAGTTATTTAGCATACTTCACGTTAATAATGAGGACTAGTTTATGCATTATGTACAAAGGCTTACACAGTGAATTACGCTTCTGTCTTTTGAAAACAGGGAACTGTATCCCAAACTAGATAAAAATATACGGAGGGATAACATTACTTATACGGAGGGATAACCTTACCTGCGCTACTTTTTCTCCAACATGATGTTTACTGTGGGCCTGCATCTCTTTCAGGAACTTGGACGTTGTCGAAGAGTGGCTGTTTTCTTTTTGTTTGGCGTTATTCTCAGAAATCATGTTACTCAGAGAGGGTGACCGAGCACGCTGATGCTGTGACCGGTACCTAGACAGGTCTGAGTCTGAGGAGGCGTTCGGAAGAGGCTTAATCAGGTTGTTAGCTGTAGCTGTAAAATAAAATTTCAGCGTGTCTAGTGAATCGGAATTTAAATATGACAACTTTGGTATCACAAAAGTTACGTTTGATAATTGGAGGAAGTAGATTAGTTATATGGATTGCAAGGAATCTCTTTTACCTTATTTTGTAGCAAATAACTTTTCTAAGTGTAGTATCGGACCCTGAAATTTCGCTTGTCGGCGTTGACGAACAGAACTAGTATCGCCTGTTGATTAGAGCACACGACTAACGATCTGCGGGTCGCGGGACCGCAACCCAGCGCAAAAACACGCTCGCTCTTTCATTCCTGGGGACATTGTAATTTATGATCGATCAGACTAAGAGTTGGCGGTGGGCGATGCGGGCCTGTTCTTTCCCTCTGGTCGGCAGTTGAAAAGTAAGGACAGTGGCAAATAGCTCCAGTGGCTTTGCCATAAACGAAACGAACAGACACGAATTAGCCTTATGTTCGCGAACTTGCGAAAGTTAAAAGTACTTCCAAACTGCTTTTTAGTCACAATTGGTTAGAATGGTAAAGACTATCCGTTCCCAAGAAGAAAATAATGGGTTTTAACATTGCTCATTGCACATGAATTATTTTATATCAAAGATTATTAAGAAATAAAAAAAAATACTAATGTTACTCGTACAGTTTTGAAGCGTTTAGTGACTTAAATTTACTTAAAACTTTCACCTAATTCCGCCAAAAAAAAGTATAAACTAAACGGTTTTACCAGACCCCCCCCCCTCCTTTAATCCATCATCTGGGCGGGCTACCATTGTACACGTGCAGTGATAAACTTTTTACTGAACATTACTGAAATGTCATAATGATCCATTATACTCGTTATAAGACCTTATTTTCGTTGAGGTTAATTACATGGGTAAAACTGGCCTTATTGATAAGGAAGTTAATTATAGCGGCAAGTGTGCAAGATTACTTTCATCATCACGAAGCTTATAGAGGGAAAGATTGGCCTTACTGTCACGGAGGTTAATAGTTGTAGTATGTTAGGCCTTGTCGTCGAGTATGTTAGTTATAAAATTTGTCTTACTGTCCAATATTGTAGCTGGATTAGTCAAACTTGTTGTTGGAGCAAATTTTACTGTCCACTATTGTTGCTGGATTAGTTAAGCTTGTTATTAGGGCTGATCTTACTGTCCAATATTGCAGGTGGATTAGTTAAGCTTGTTGTTAGAGTAAACCTTACTGTCCAGTATTATAGCTGTATTAGTTAAGCTTGTTATTAGGGCTAATCTTACTGTTCATTATTGTAGCTGGATTAGTTAAAGATGTTAGGACTAAACTTAAAAGTTTAGTGTGTTTATTGGATTACTTAATCTCGTTGCTGAAGCTGGCCTTACTGTCCAATATTGCAGGTGAATTAGTTAAGCTTGTTGTTAGAGTAAACCTTACTGTCCAGTATTATAGCTGTATTAGTTAAGCTTGTTATTAGGGCTAATCTTACTGTTCATTATTGTAGCTGGATTAGTTAAAGATGTTAGGAGTAAACTTAAAAGTTTAGTGTGTTTATTGGATTAGTTAATCTCGTTACTGAAGCTGGCCTTACTGTCCATTTTTTTTATAGCTGTTATAAAGTTATCTTTAGAGCTCGACTTACTATCCAATGCTTTAACTGGATTAGCTATCTAATTATCTAGTATTGCAATTGAATAAGTGTTAGTTTCTGTTTGATCTTCCCTTTCTATACAAAGCGATAATCGTGTAAGTTAATAAGATTATAAGAGTTTATCTAACAGCACAACACTCTAGTTTGCTTACTTATTCTGGTTGTAAGTTAGATTTATTGTCCAGTTTAGCAGATAGATCAACTAAGCTTGCTAGGGTGTATGTCAATACACTTTATATAGGGTCAAAGACCTACCTACATCAGGTGGTCTTATCACCGTTAACCTTAAATGTCAGTGAAGTTTTAATACTAATCAAAGGCTAAATATCTTCTTCCAAGTAAATGTAGACAGTGAACAGGGAATACTATCAAAGAATCAAACACTTCTTATCAAAGAGTTCAGTGACATTCCGATAGTATTCAAAGAATCAAACACTTCTTATCAAGGAATGTCACTGAACTCTGAATACTATCAAAGAATCAAACACTTCTTATCAAGGAATGTCACTGAACTCTGAATACTATCTTGATAAGAAGTGTTTGATTCTTTGATAGTATTCAGAGTTCAGTGACATTCCTTGATAAGAAGTGTTTGATTCTTTAGAGTTCAGTGACATTCCGAATATTATCAAAGAATCAAACACTTCTTATCAAGGAATGTCACTGAACTCTAAATACTAACAAAGAATCAAACACTTCTTATCAAGGAATGTCACTGAACTCTGAATACTATCAAAGAATCAAACACTTCTTATCAAGGAATGTCACTGAACTCTGAATACTATCAAAAGTTACATGTCTTCTCGGGAAATGTCTTATTGAACTTTGAATAATACTACAAAAAAAAACACGTCACGTCTTCTCGAGAAATGTGTCGCTGAACTTTGAATATTACCAAAAAG